GTGTAATGAGTAATTCCTGTGTCTCCACACTGTGGTAGTTTACACCCTTTATGTCTAATCCAGACAACAGCCCAGCAAAGTAGCCACTTGTGCTCCTATTACAAAGGAAGAAACTGAGGCTTAGATAAGGGACTAACTGACTCACTGCGGTATTTCACTTTTTTCTGTTCCTGTTCTTACCAAATAGAATGTGGTCAGTTCCAGAAAAACCACTGCCTTCTACCAGCGCATGACTTACTTTACTAGTTATTTTTACTTTTATTAGATAATTCATACACTTGGTTTAAAAAGTGGTAGTAAACTGCGTTCAGTACAAAGTAAATCTCCCTCCGTAGTCCCCAGCCATCCAGTTCTCCTCCCCTGAGGCAACAATCAACAAATTCTTGTGTGTCTTTTCAGAAATATTCTATGTATTTACCAGCACATACACAAATATTTTAAAACTTAATTTGGGATATTTTGCATATATTGCTCTGCACCTCTCCTTCTTCTCTCAACAATGTAACTTGGAAATCCTTCCATATTCGCTAGATCTGCCTCATTCTTTTTAATAGCTGTATAAAATTTAATTAATCCTTGTGCCATGAACTGAGCAATATAATGATGTCAACATCAGGTTCAAAGGGAAAAAAAATTTTTTTTGTTAATGATCCTAACAGTACCTGGATCAAAACAAAATACGTGCTTGATTTTCTGTTTTCTGACTCTGGAAGACTGTCCACCGTAAAGGACGAGGGATGTTTGGCGTAATTTTCTACCTTCTCCAGCACCTTCCCGCTGGGCCAGAAGGCACTTGGGGCACTTGCGGCGCTTGGGCCGCGCGACAGCGGCCTGGGGACGCGGGGCCGTCACAGCCAGTTTCCGTCTTGGGAGAGAGGCCCAGTCACGGGCTGCTTTCCGACCCGCGCGCCGTGTTTGGGCCCCGCCACCCACCAGCGCGCACCCCAAGGAGACTCGAAATGCTTCCGTTCGCCAGCACCCGACGCCCTTGAGGTCTAATTCTAAACGGTGTTTTTCTTTTGCTTTCACAGCCCCGGCGCTTGGGTTGGTTGGCAAGGTGCTTTCTGAGTCCGAGTTTCGTCCGTTATTTCGGGGAACCCCCGTTGCCAGCGCCCGGCTGGACCCCGCCGCCGGGAAGGTGGAACTGCCGTGCTCAACCTCTCCCCCACTTCTCTCTCCTCACTCCCGTCCCCGCTTCTCTTCCCCACCCCTCCTCTTTCTCCGAGTCCCTCGACGGTGTTGGGCTCCCCGCCCGCACTTCCTCGTCAGCCAAATCCTAGCGTTTCACATCCACTAACCACCACTTGCGAGTTGCTATGACGTCCAACAGGTTTCAGCAGAGGGAGAGACTAAGACAGACTAGGAAGAAAGACCTGGCGATCTACTTTGGAAAAAATCAATCAACAAAAACCCTATGAATCACAACAGTGGAATCCTGGGTCCAGTTGTGCATCAGCTTGCCAAGAGTAGGCGCCTACTCAGAATGCAGCTAACAACAAGAACAACCCACCAGGAAGCTGCCTCAGCCTCCCCCAGTTTGACCAGGAGATGCAAACCTAGAGCCTGGACAAATAGCTACAAAAGGAAGACCACGTGACCCTAAAGAAGTACAGCACCAAAAAAGGTGTCTGTGCTTTCTCTGAAGCCACCATACCACAGTGGAGCTGAGAGGAAACACAGGCAGAGGAATGCTGTGCATAGGGAGTGTCTGAAGCCGGGTGAAGCAGTGTGTGTGTGTGTGTGAGAGAGAGAGAGAGAGAGAGAGAGAGGGTGGAGAGGAAAGGAGGAGGGCAAGCTTTCTGTAGTTGGATGGGGGGTCCTTGGAGGCGATAACTGAGTGTTTAGGGCTAGAGAGTTTCAGAGACACTGAAGGGCCAGATACACATAGAGCTGGGAGACATGCAAAGCCAGTGGGAGGGTGCCCTGAGTCACATACATGCCGGGATTGATGGAGGAAAGAACTTGGAACAGCAGAATCATTTGGCTATTCTGCTCAAAAACAAAGCAAACAAACAGAACTGGGTGGTTATACTAATATGAGACCAAGTAGACTTTTAGTCAAAAATTGTTGCAAGAGGCAAAGAAGGACATTATATATTTATGAAAATCAATTCATCAAGAAGATATAATAATTATAAACTCATATGCACCACATAACAGAGTCCTCAAAATATATGAAGCAAAAACTGACAGAATTGAAGAGAAATAGGCCGTTCTACAATACTGATTGAATATTTCAATACCGCACTTTCAACAATGGATAGCACATCTAAACAAATCAATAAGGAAGTAAAAGACTTGAAGAACACTATAAAACAAGTAGACCAAAAACAGCAGAATATATATTCTCTCAAGTGCACATGGAACATTTTCCAGGACAGACCAGAGGTTAGGCCACAAAACAAGGTCTTTATCCTCATTTGTCAAGTGAGGATAGTACTTCAGGGTTTGCTGGGAGGGTTAGAGTTGTATTGTCTGTTTAGTGGAGCCCCTGGGTGGTACAAACAGTTAATGCACTCACCTGGTAACTGAAAGGTTGGAGGTTTGAGTCCACCCAGAGGCACCTTGGAAGAAAGGCCTGGTGATCTACTTCTGAAAAAAACAGCCACTGAAAGCCTTATGGAGGACAGTTCTACTCTGACACATATGGGGTCACCATGAGTCAGTCAACTAGATGGCAAAGGGAGTTTTTTAGGATGGTTATAATGAAAAAAATGGAAAATAACAAATGTTGACAAGGATGTGGAGAAATTGGAACCCTTGTACATTGCTGTGAAAAACACATGGGTGATTCCTCAAAAAAGTTAAACATAGGATTACTATGTTTTTGTTGTTGTTAGGCGCTGTCGAGTCAGTTCCGACTCATAGCAACCCTATGTACGTACAGTAGAACGAAACACTGCCCGAGCCCATGCTATCCTCAGAATCATTGCTATGTTTGAGCCTATTGTTGCAGCCACTGTGTCAGTCCATCTCGTTGATGGTCTTTCTCTTTTTCACTGACCCTTTACAATGTTCCACTGCTATTCATAAGGTTTTCACTGGCCAATTTTTTTTTTTTTTTTAGAAGTAGATCACCAGGTCCTCTTTCATAGTCTATCTTATTCTGGAAGCTCCACTGAAACCTGTCCACCATGGTTTTTGAAATACCAGTGGCATAGCTTCCAGCATTACAGCAACACACAAGCCACCACAGTACAACAAACTGACAGACGATTGGTTACTATATGACCTAGCAATTGAACTCCTAGGTAGATAGCCAAAAGAATTGAAAACAGATACTCAGACAAATACTTGTACATGAATGTTCATAGCAATGTAATTCACATTAGTAAAAAAAAAAAAAGGTGTAAACAACCCAAATGCTGAGCAATGGGTGAACGGATAAACAAAAACTGTGGTATATCCGTACAATAGACTATATTCAGCCATAAAAAGCAATGAAGTACTTACTTGCCACAAGGTGGGTGAACCTCAAAAAGTTATACTAAGTGAAAAAAGCTAGACACAAAAGGTCACATATTATATGATTCTATTTATATGAAAAGGAGCCCTGGTGGCACAGTGGTTATTTATAGGAAATATCCAGAATATGTAAATTCATAGAGACAGAAAGCAGATAAGTGGTTTCTAGGGGCTCGGAGAAGGAAAGAATGGGGAGTGACTGCTTAATGGATTCTGAGGTCTCCTTTGAAGGTGTTGAAAATTGTTTGGAACTAGATAGAGGTGATGGTTGCGTAACATGGTGAATGTACTAATTGTCACGGAATGGTACACTTTTTTAAATGGTTAATTGTATGTGAATCGCACCTGATTAAAAAAACATAAACTGATAATAAAGGAAAGAAGGAAGGAAGAAGGGAGGGAGGAAGGAAGGAAGGAAAGGAAAGACAAGAGACAAAGGCAGTGCGAACAGGGGCGTCTTCCCTCTGCAGCAGCAGTTGGGACTATGTTCCGGTCGCATCACTGCTCTGGCGGAGAAACGCGAAGGTGCTTTTAGCGTGGGTTTAGCTTAGTGGAAGCTCCACAACCTGCAGTGCTGGGCCTCGGCCTGCAGGTCCCTGAGCGCGGGGCCAGGTTTCGGGGGGCAGCCCCACGTTTGGCCTTGGCTTCGCAATCTGCTGTCCGTGAGCCTTGGCCGAAATACCCAACGTCGCGGCGCTCGGGACTGGAGTCAGTAAGTAATGGAAGCCTGGGCTTGCGAGTGGCTATCAACCACGATCTCCCTGGAGTTTCTATCCACCGTTTTTAACTCATTTCTAAAACCTGGTTTTTCACGCTTTATCATCTCTGAGATCGGGATGTGTTTTACACTCCATCTCGTCTCGTATTCTAACGGCAGCGTTTTCCTAAGTGGTTTATGAAACCACGTGAAGTCTCCGACTCCATTACATAAACATTAACAATTTTAATCACGTAATTGTGTGTTTCTTAGTTGATGTCTCCCGCTGCCCCCACTAGATGCCTGGCCCATGATAGGCGCTCAATAAATGTTTACTGGATAAATGAGTAAGTGAACGAAGGAACACTACTGTTCTTATTCGAGGCTTGGCTCTGCCATTTGTGGGCAGTTTGACATAAGGAAAGTAATGTAACCCTTCAGAGCTTCGTTTTCCTAGTTCACAAAATGGCTGTAATTAGGTCAACAGCACCCAGAGGGTGCGAGGCCCCATGAAAGAGGAAGTACTCGGCTCAGGGCCTGGGTACGCCTGAAAACCCGACTCAATAAAAAGGCACCGAAACTGGTTGTTGTTATTAACTTTTATATCAACGTATAAATGGAAGTTTATAATTGGCTTTTGCGCAAAAGAGAAATAGATACATGTAAAGACGAAATCTACTGTTAAAAACTGTGCCGGAACTAAGCAAGCTGGAAAGAATTGGGGACGGCCGGGAGGGTGAACAGCCGGGTTAAAACTTCCCACGAGTGAAGATCAAAGGCTTCAAACTTCCTTCGATGATAGAAGACCGAAGTATTCAAATGTTGACGACTGGAGATCGCAGACTTACAGTTGGGGCTGTCTGCGACCGGCTGAAAGTAAAATAGGCATTAGACACTAGCAGGAAAAGAGGTGCGGCCCATCCCCTCCCTTCTTGAGGCCCCCCACCGGATATTCAGGCACTCATGGATAAGATTCTGGGAAGTGGGTCGCCTGCACGACCGCCTCCTCTCAATATCCACCAACCCTCGGCACAAAGTTTGTCCCCCCGAGTCGAGGCCCGGCCAACCGCCTCTGCGCCTTGAGCCTCCGGGATCCCGCAGCGCGTCCACGGTCCCGCGGTCACCGCTCAGGCGCGTCGGCCGACTGCGCGCTCCGGGCCTGTCCCCGCGCAGGCTGGAGAGCGCGGCCGCGGGCCGTCGGGGGATGACAGAAAAGCATTTGAGTATATGACTAGTGCGAGTGCTTGCCCAACACAACGCCCAGGCTCAGGGAAGTGAAGACGCCGCGTCGCCCTTTGCGCGTCCCAGGCCTCTCTTGCACATGGTACAGCTCTTGCTGGTTCGCTCGGAACCAGAGGCCACCTAAGGCTGTGGCGCGGCTTGGCAGAACAGGAACCTTCGGCTCCAATCGCATCTCCTCTGTCCCCTGCTCCACCCCAACCCTCCCTCACGCCCACCCCGAATGGCTTCCTAGCGTGTCTAGAACAAAATCCATGCTTACTGCTTTGCCCTACAAGATCTGGCCTCTCCCTCCGCTCTGATCTGGTCCTGTACACGCTCCAGCCCGCCTTTCCGTCCTCTAACCCACCGCGTTCATTCCCGCCGCAGTCTTCGAACTTGCGGGTCTCTCTACCTCCCGTGGCTGCTCTCTTCCTGCCACTCAGGTTCTCTGATTGCTCTAAGATTTCCTCCCCTCCTATTCACGACTTCATTCTTTATGCTCTACATTGGTTTTAAAACTCATTCTGTAAAAATAGATTATTTTTCGTAAAGTTTATTTCCTAGAATGTAAGCTGTTTGAGGGCAGGATTCCTGTTCTGTCTCATTCACCGTTGTATCCTCAGCACCTAGAACGGGGTTGATCGTAGAGTAGATCTTAACCAAAAAATGAATTGTGCTGGGGGTAGAAGCTGGGGAGAAAGAGAAGGAAGGAAAAAAGGAAGTCCTCTGGGGCTTCGCTAAGGGCCAAAGAGCGCAGTGCTTGAGTTCTGAGCGGACAGATGTCATTATTTTCAAAGCCATGTTTTACTGTAATTAGTCATGCACATTTCAGTATTGCTTCATTTATGCATATTTTGATAAAAATTATTCCTCCTTAAAAGAAAAAAAAATTCAAGTTAGTTCTTAAGGCAGATGGAAGTGGGCAAAACAGAAGGCAAAGAGGACCACATACCATCTCCCTCGCTCAGCGACCTCGAAGAAACCGGAAGGTTAAGAAAGGAGAAAGGAGTCTCCGCCTCCCGGAGAGTGCGGCAAATCCTGGTGTGCAGAGTGCGTGCTGGGAGCTCAGTCCCAGCTGCCCCTCAGAAGCCCCGGGGGAGCTCTGGACAACTCCACCACAGAGAGCGGACGTCGGATTTGGTAGAGTTGTGCAAAAGGCCGGAATCCGGCTCATAACGGATCTTCCCCAGATGATGCCACCCGCAACGGGTTTGGAAATCGTGGGACTGGTCTAGCCACCTAGGTATGCGGATGGGGAAACTGAGGCCCGGTGAGTGGATGTGGCTGACCAGCTAATTTAGAGGGAGAAGGGACACTACACCTCTAGCCTCCTGGATCTTCAACGTTCCACAGTCTAGGCCTTGAGCTGCGGTGAGGGCGGTGTGCGTTTGAGTGGTGGCGTTCTGTATATGAGTGTGTGTGTGGAAGGGGTGGGTGTGTGGGTGGGTGGCCGGGCATGAGAGGGGCTTTCACGTGCGGACGTCAGTCTAGGGCTACTTCCCAAGTGTAGCCCTGACCTGGCGGCGTGATCGGGAGACCCGGATTGTCCCACAGATTGGCCGTGTGTGAGCTGAGACCCGGGACCCTGCCCCTCCAGGCCCAACTTTCTCGTCTGGGAAAGCGCACTGGGCTCTAGGAGCTCTCAGAGTTCAAAATCTTAGATCCTGGGCATCCGCCCTCACCTGCTGCACCCTCTGCGGCATCTGCATGGGCATGGCCGCGGCCTTCAGTCTCCCCCGCGGCCGCACGCAGGTACCGGGCGACATCGCGGTGACCCCGCTCCTCAGCCAGGTCCACGGGCAGGCGACCCCAAGCGTCGCGCACGTCCAGCCGTGCCCCGGCGCGATGCAGGACCATCAGCGTGTCCAGGAAGCCTTCCCGCGCGGCGTCGTGCACCGGTCGGGTGAGGGTGACGGGGTCGGCGCAGTTGGGCTCGGCGCCATGGAGCAGCAGCAGCTCGGCCACAGGGGTGCTGCCCATCATCATGACCTGCCGGGAGAGCAGAGGGGTCAAGGCGACAAGCGAGAGCAGGATTATTCTAAAGAAATACTTATTTACGACGCCCCGAAGCCCCAAGATCATAGATACCCAACAGTGAGGCGCGTGGAAGTCACAGATGTTGGTTACTCTTCCGTTACTCCCATAGTTACCACCCCTCCCCCAGTTCTACACATTCTGCCTCTCAGTAGACATTTAATTGCATTATATTCTCCAAACATTTGCAGAGCTCGAGCCCCAGCTAGAACACTGCCAGAGGCAGAGACAACAATAAAAAGGTGATGGGCAAGCTGGCTTTTACCACTGCCTAAACATTCTGTATTTTTTTTCCCCCCCTCATTTTGAGATGAAATTAACCACAGAGATTTTGTTTTGTTCACCGCTGTATTTCCAAGCCCAGGAGGTGGTAATTGTCAACGTATATATATATACAAATTTTTTTTTGCAAAATATTAAGCTACTGTGAACTTAAATTTCAATTTCTTTAAGTATAAAATGAAAAAGTTTGTCTAATTAGCCTTGAAATTCCTACCTGTGGTAGGCTGAATAATACTTCCCCCCCACCAAGATGTCTGTGTCCTAATCCCCAAAACCTGTAAATATATTACTTCACATATCAAAAAGAATTTTGCAGATATGGTTAAGTGAAGGATTTTGAGATGGAGTGATTACCTTGGTTAATCTGGCTGGGACCAATGTAATCACAAGTGTCCTTATGAAAGGGTCACAGTCAGAGAGAAGATATAAGGATGGAAGCAGAGGCCACAGAGAAGATGCTACAATGCTGACATTGAAGACAGTGGAATGGGCTACAAGCCAAGGAATACAGGTGGCTTCTAGAATCTGGAAAAGGGAAGGAGATGGATTCTTCCTAGAGCATTCAAAAGAAACACACTCTGTGGACCCATTTTAGACTTCTAATCTCCAGAACTGTTAATATAATAAATTTGTGTAGGTTTAAGCTCCTAAATTTGTGATATTTGTTACAGCAGCAATGGGAAACTAATACACTCTCCTACAGGAGATGCTCACCTCCTTTGGTTCTTAAATCATCTTTGAAACAAAATCATTTCCAAAGAGGAATTTTTAAATGGTGTGCACCATCACAGCAACCTTAGAATTGGGGTGCTACATGATGGGTGGTGATGGAGGATTCTTTTTAGTATAACCATTATCTAGCTATATTTGCTTGGGGATAAAATTAAACCAACCTGTTGCTGTCGAGTAGATTCCAATAGTGACTGTATAAAGAAGAATTAGTTATGGTCTGTATCAATTAAACACAAATTATTTTTATATGTCCAAAGCAAGGAAAAATAATAAATTATACTATGGTGGTTGAATCCTGTCTAAAAAGTGGGGAAACCGATTGAGTTTTCAAAAGGACTAGGGAAAATATATGTGAACCAAACTACAGCTACAAAAAACAAAATATTGCAGCACAGTTTTTGTTTATCCAAGTCGTTCACTTTGGTCATAAAATTGGTCTTGATCTAAGATACAACTATTGGTCTCTACTTGTATGGAGCAAAAGGGAATGAGGGAACCAAAGGCTCAAAGAAGAAACTATTCCACAGGGCTAATAGCCCACATGAACCACAGCCTCTTCTGACCTGAGACCCAAAGAACTAGATGGTGCCTGGCTACCACTATGGACCCTTCTGACCAGGGACATAACAGAAGGTCCGGGATAGAATGGGAGAAAAATGTAGAACAAAACTCAAATTCCTAAAAAAGGCCAGACCTACTGGACCCGTAGAGACTAGAGGAGTTCCTCCCCCCCAGACCCCCGCCCCAGACTACTGCCTTAACATACCCTTTGCACTTGAACTGAAGCTATTTCTGCATGTTACTTTAAGCCAAATAAGGGATCGGCTTATCAAATAAACAATATTACCTGCGAGCAATGTGCCCCCTTAAACAATTAACTATACAAGACCAAAGGGTCAACATTTACTGAAAAGCAAGCACGAGAAGGCAAGAAGGGGAAGGGAACTTAGATCAATGTTAACAGAACAAACAGAATAGAAATAATGAAAATGCTGACACATTATGAAAATTGCAACCAGTGTCATGAAACAATTTGTATAAAAATTGTTTAGGGAGACCTAAAGACCTAATTTGGTGTGTAAACTTTCACATAAAACACAATAAAATATTATTTAAAAAAATAAAATACTATCCACATGACATAACCTAATAAATTAGACTACTAAAAAAAAAAAAAAAAAAAAAAAAACCCTAGTCTTAAATGTTTTTCTTATACTTTACCATAAGAAAAAAGCTGAAAAGCAACCGGGCATTTAAATATTGAAACTATCTCAAACAATCAATTAAGCCAGTATGTGTAGGGTGCTTAAAATCCATTTGGTAAGAAATTAATTGGAATCTAGTTGTTTTAAAAGAATTTTTATAAACTATTCTATATTTAAAACCTATTTGAAGTTTTAAACCAAAGTCATTTTGCCCTTTTTTCTATGTTCTTATCCCCTTATTAAAAATTTGTAAAGTGTAATTATCCAACTTTCTTTTTGTATCTAAATAGATAAGGTCTCTCCTAATACATTCCAGGACTCTCAGGCCAGACTCCCAGTCTCCAGGCTGCTGGCAAAATCTTGGAGCTATTAAATTGTGAATCAAACATTATTTTTGAAGGACTCACCCTTATCTTTTACAACTATCCAGCCTCTCTAGTTTCAAGATCTCTTCCCATTTCAGGTCCCCAAAAAATCTCAACTTTTAAGGCATTTTAATTTTATTTTTGTATCTGTACTTTAAAGTGTACAAAATATATCCTTTGTAGGACAGATTCAAGAAAAGAAAATTGATTTGTGAAGTCTGAGGTAGAGTTACTTTCCTTTGTCTTACAGAGTTTTTGCAATGGGCATTTGTTTCACATAAATTTTCTTTGTCAGAACTAGAAATCATTGTCACCACTGGGAACCAAATTAGGCTGGTGACTGCCAGGAAGAATTCGTTTTTAGCCTGAGATTTAGGAAGTTAGTGAAGACAAAACACACACAGCCCTCCTTGCCCCCCCCCCCCAAACACACAACGGAGGGGGAGGAGGGAAATGGAATTTTCCAACAGCGAAGAATTGAAAGTAAATTAATCTACATCAAGTAAGTTAAAATAGCAAAAATAATAGCAAATACTCTCAAGATGGTAACTAAATTGGAAATACTGTCTCAGGCGAGATCACGATAGATTTTTTTTTCTTTTCATACAGGTCTGTATGTCCTAATTTTTTTTTTTTTACAAGCATATATTTTCCCTACTTAGTCCTAAGTTCTTTACAACAAGAATACATTTTTCCCTACTCAGTTAAAATAAAAATAAACACAATATGTAGTTGTTTCTGAACAATTTAAATCGATATTTTATTCCAACATACGTGGCAGGAGATTTCCACCGAAGTCCCTGTAGCAAGGAAGATGATCAGCTCTATCCAGGGGTCTGTGAGTTTGGGACTACATAGTCCCAGTGAACCTTAACCTTTCTTTAAAATCTCGCGTTTTATCTCAAACATTCACAGATTCTGCATCTGATAAACAATATAACTCGGTCTATATTAACACACATATGCTCCCACGCGCCAGATCGTCACACCACTCCAGAGATCTTCACCCCAAGTGCCCCCTCCTCTCCTGGGCTTCCCCAGACCCCAGGGCGTCGCCCCGAGGTCTTTGACCCCAAACTCCGTCTGAAAAAGCCCCGGGAAGTGTCCCCTTTTCCAAGAATCTAAACGTCACCCGGTTCCGATTCCCCTGCAAACCTAGTCCTCCAGAGCAGCCCGCCATCCCCTCCTCCCGCTCCGGACCTGCCACCTACCTGGATCGGGCGGCGCCCGTAGCGGTTCGGCGCGTTAGGCTGCGCCCCCGCCTGGAGCAGCTCCCGCACCTCCTGGGCCCGGCCTCGGACAGCGGCCGTGGCCAGCGAGTCGGCGGTGGGCTCCATGCTGCTCCCCGCGGCCGCACTCCCTTGTCCCCTCGTCCCCTTCCTCCCGCCGCCTAGAGCCCGGCGCCCGACCCGCCCTCTCTTGACTGGCCCGCCCCTCGCTTCCCTCCTCCCGGCAGGCGGAAACCCGTCGCCCGAGCCCCCGCGCCGCGGCCCCCTGAATCGCTCTCCCCACCCTTGCTGCGGGGCCCCGCGCCTTTCCACTTCCAGGAGCACCGTCACGTGGTGTCCTCCGAGGACAAGAGAACGCGATAGGAAGGTGCCTCCTGAGGTCGCCCCACGCGGCAGGCTGCAGCACGGCCCCCGGCTCCCCGGGGAGCGAGACCCGGCCGGAAGCAGTCCACTCCCAGAGCACGAGGACGCCGCAGGAGCAGGGAGCCCAGAGCCCCTCCTCACCCACCCTCTACCCGGTCCTCCCGCCGCCCCACCCTCACCGTGCTGTGTCCCCTCCCCCTCGATCCAACGGAAGCGCACGCGAGTCTCTAAGCGAGTTCCCTCTACTAAAGCTAAACCAAATTTCTCCCTTTTCCTTCCTCCCTTCTACAACCTCCTCCTATTAGGCAGTTGCGCAGGGTTCCTGACTGTCAAGTTTGAACCTGAGCGCTCGATGTCATAGGCAGAGTATTGCTTCCTCTTTATAGTAAGTACTCAAGATGAATTGGCCAAAGCTGTCCTCACCTCTTAATAAGGAAACCACCGAGGATCGGTAAGCCCGGTGTGACTAGAGGCGACCCTTCTTTTAGATCATCAGATAACACACTTTCCTCTCCCCCTTACACTCCTTGGGTTAAGCGTTCCAGAAAACGTAGTTCAAAGGTTCCTTTTTGAGAGTCTTAACGGTTGCCCGCTCTCCTCTCCCCATCCACGTGGCTGGGGCGAGGGTTTCGGAGAGGTGCGCAATGCCGCGTAGTAGCGCCTTATATAAGAACAGGATATGCCAATTAGGTCTGGCTTCAGAAGGTGAGGTCTATTTAACAGGGACGGGAAACAATTCCACCTATATGCAGATAGGAAAGTGGAGAGCGAGTCATTGAGGTGACAGACCCCATTCTTAATAAGCCATTCTGGGTGACAGACCCCATTCTTAATAAGCCATTCTGGGTGACAGACCCCATTCTTAGTAAGACCCCATTCTTCATTCCCTCTAGACCAGAGAAAGTGCTCAGCTCTCTAGAGACAGAGTGGCACACCGCATCACAGTTCAGGCTCAGACACACTGTCCTGGGGCCCCTCCTAGGTCGGCTTCCAGCTTCCCACACCCCTCCTTCCTTCTAGACATACCTTGCCGTTTTCTTAGCTATAAAAAGAGGAGCTAAGAGTGGTCCTTACTTCGTAGGGCTGCTGTGAATTTTAAATGTACTGATGCACATACAGCATTTAGAACCGTGATACACATCCCAGTCACGTGAAACCTGATAGCTATCAAACTATCCATTTGGAGGATTTGCTTGCAATCTCGTTAGGGACAGAGAAGAAAATATTTTGGATAGAATTATCAATATTATATAAGAGAAGGAAGGCCAAGAAGACCTTAATCACAGAAAAGATGATGGTGCACCTTCCACCACCCCCATATTTAAATTTAAACAGCACTAAAGGATATAATAAGTGAAAGGGAATCCAACAGTTCTATTTTTTTTTCTGGGATTATTACTTTCATGCTTTAAAAAATATATATTACATTTAAAAACTGAATTGGCACCTGCTTAGGTTTCGCTGGTCTTGAGCACATACTTAGTCTACTGGATAACCCGGCTCTGCTTAAAAGTTAACGTTTTAATCCTTGGCTGACTTGTCTTCAAGACCCAGAATACCTTGCTGTACCTTCAATTGCTGCTTAAATTAAAAAAAAAAAAAAAACCAAACCCGATGCCCTTGAGTCGATTCCCACTCATAGTGACCCTATAGGACAGGGTAGAACTGCCCCATAGGATTTCCAAGGAGCACCTGGTGGATTTGAACTGCCAACCTTTTGGTTAGCAGCCATAGCTCTTAACCACTACGCCACCAGGGTTTCCTTCAATAGCTGCTAGGTCAGGCAAAATGTAGTTTTTAAATTACGACAATTTAAACATTTATTGTCCAATCTCTTATAAAAATGTATAATATATTACTACTGTGCCTTCTATGTTTTCCTCCAGGCACCTCTCAAATACCTGGGCAGCAATGGTTTGAACAATTCAAACTATGGATAAAGAATCTAATATTCTTTTAAGTTAGCTTCAGACATTTTATGATAAAACCAGTTGCAGTCATGTGGATTCTGACTTATAGGGACTCTATGAGAATGGCCAGAGTTTCCAAGGCTGTAAATCTTTACTGAAGCAGAGTGCCACATCTTTCAGTTAGCAGCCAAGTGATTAACCACTGCGCAGCCAGGGCTCCTTTTACATTTTATGATAGGAGAGGGAGAAATATGATTGTGATGGGAGACAGATTTCCCTTGTAATTATGCCTGGCTTTCAGAACAATATCAAAATTAGCTTCCATCACTAAAATAATGTTTCTTAATCTTCCTTTTGAGAATTTCTTGAAAGCTACAGACATTATCCTCAAAAAATATTCAGCGAAAACCAACCAACCAACCCCAAACCAAGTGTGCTCACTGGCGCATATATTTCTGAATAAAACTTCCAGGGAATTCAAGTATTCATCTGAAACTCAACTATGGATTCCTATATCAAGAATCCTTTTAGCTCTTGTGAGTAGGTAATATATCAGAGAAGGAAGCATGAGATGGAACCATACAAAAATATTTCTTGGATGCATTATATACAGATACAGAGATTGATGCTTTGGAAATGCCAAGAGCAAGTTTTAGACATGTGTTCACTAGCTCAGGCACTTGCATCAGAGCTTCTGAAAGATTGTGGCATCCTTGGGTGTGGGGCCCTTTTGTTCTGGATATTGGACCTGTGTCTATTATAAATCTGTGTAAATAATGTGAAATCTTTTTTTCCTGCTAAAGAACCTTCCATACTCCCAATTTACTTATCTACATCAGTTCAGACCTGAGGGGTAAAACTACAGAAGAAATAAACCATAAAGCCAGGGATCTTGGTGCTGGCTCTTCCAGCCTCAGATTTCTTATCTGTAAAATGGGATCATGATATATTGGGTGCATGAAGTAGGATGATGGATGTCAAAGAGCTTTCTAAGTTCTAAAGTTTGTTGGTTATTATTATTATCTTCACACTTACCTCTCCTCTTCCCTGAGAATGCCATGGGCTCCATTTCTGCTGTCTTGGCAGTCTTGAAAATTTATACTATGAAATTTAAACCTGTCTTAATTCTGATCAGTCTTTTAAGGAAAAAATAAAAATAAAAACTACTACTTATTTATTCATCCAACAAGCTCAGAGGCTAGGAGTAGAGCATGGAGGGTTAAATTCAGCCCTAGAATCAAACTACCCAAGTTCAAACCTGGACTTTTCCACCTAATATTTTTTTAACTTTGGACAAATTACTTAATGTCATTGGTTCTCAGTATCCTCATCTCTAAAATGGGGATAATAATAGTACTTGCCTCAAACTGTTGTGTGAATTAAATGGGACATATGTAAAGCACTTAGAAGAGCAAAGGGAAGCAGAGGCTGACACAAGAAAATGAAAAGGGAGCCAAACTCATCCTGGTGGCTTAGGTGAAAGGCTTCCTGGACAGTATGACAGCTGACCCCAACTTAAAGAAACATATAGGAGTATAAAGATGGAAGGGAAAGATGGAGAAAGATGTCCCAGGCAAAGACAAGAACATGTGCAAAGGCACACAAGTTTAGGAAAACTGAATGTAATTCCCTGCAATATATAGTGAGAAGCTGGAAAAAGGAAGCTTCTGCAAAAGAACCTGAAAAGGGCTGCTCAGAGGCAGAAGGAAAACCAGGAGGGAATGTGATGGCAAGGAAGTGGGGACACCGTGTGTAGACTCTTCTTTCATAGCTTGGCTGTCATAGCTCAAGGCGATGTACGGTGAAGGGAAGCAGATGGAAGGTGGAAGAGACCTGAGCGCGCACACCCACTGAAGGAACATGCCAGGTGAAGAGAAAGAAGAGAAAAAATAGAAATAGGACCTGAGGTCCTGAAAGGTATAAGAAGAAATGGAATCCAATGCACAAGGAGGTCATAAATTTGGATACAGACAGATTTGAAGAGGGAAAAAGGGTCAAGGCAGGAAGGAAGTTGAGGTAATTCCTTCCATTAATGAAGAGGCTGGCTTGTTGGCAAAGACTGAGGACAAGATGGTGGGTTAGGAAATTTAACAGTGGTGAAGTTTTGGAATATGTTAAGAGGGAATGAGAGTATGGCTGAGTAGGATTCAGACAGAGAAGTCTTTTCATTGGCCTGAAGGACACAGCTGAGGATGGAGACCATGACACTTTAGAAACACCTACTTCATTTGAATCCAAGAAAGCCTTACAATGGTGCTACTCCAGAACTCTATCACCAAGGAACAGTAATACGGGATGTGAACATTAATTCAATACAGCACAAGAAAAAGAAAGATATTTGAGGAGGTATGTTCTGAAATTAAGTTCTGGTACTGAGGAGGCCTTGAAGGACTGGCCAGGTGATTCTATAAGCAAGATGCCTTTATCAGGAAAATAAAAGGTGTTGAAGAAATAACTCTGGATTGGTGTATCTAATAAACTGATTATTTTTTTTTACTCTGAAATCCTTTGAGACTATTTTTAGCCTCAATGTCCATATCTTCAAAAGGGGCTCTATCCTACTCTATCCTTTATACTTCATGGAATTATTAACAAGTGAGATAATACACACAAAAGCTGTTTAAAAAGCATACATCTCTTTACCAATATTCAATTAGTATTGTTATTAAAAACAATTGTTCAAAATAGTTTGAGGTTAAAAGTAAAATATACATAGATTATCTCTGGAAAGATACACTGTTTTGTCAAGCAATTTGTATTGCTTGAATTTTTTTACTATGTGCCTATATTAACCATTCTTATTAGTTAAATAAATATAATAACAGTAAACAAATAAAAGGTGTT